GTCCTATTATGGAACTCTTCATCAGAAAAATACTAAATCTTCACAAAACCCCTTCTAATAATTAGATAGGTGTTTTTTTCCTTCAATCTTTATCATATTCACAATCTATCAAGCATATTCTGTTTTTTTTAGAACCAAAATAAAAAGGTCGACTTCTTTTTTCCAGTCATAATTTCAAGGTTATGTATATAACCTGTATATGTATATACACATGCTTATATATAGATAAATATAAATGAGTACCTTATAGAAGTGTCTTGTATATTAATTTCAATGGTCTCTATTTCATCATCTACCTATACACACACCTACCTTAAGCCATAGAAACTGATACATGCTTAATATGTATCTATGATAGTGACTTGTTGTTATATTGAGTATAGGAGTAAATACGTTGTTATGCAAGTTATACTAGTGGTGAAATTAAGCAAACTTCATATGTATATATGAATTCGATGCATATATACAATAAAGATAATTATATTTAAGCATGTCTATAGATGAATATAAACTTGTTAAACCAATCATATGAATTTTATATTGTATATTTACCAGACATATTTGAGTATAATTGGATTCTTTTGTTTCTCTACTCACTTATACAGACATTCATATATAGATCATTAATGATGATGATAAGATAGAATGATACATTAAAACTTAGTTGCTATGTGATGAGAATATTAAGTCTAGGAAATAGGATCTCAATAGTACTTGTACTCATATTTATAAATGAATATACTGTAAATTATTGACTATTTGAATTTCTTCTCATTTATTCAACTAAACTCACTTTATGTAGATTTCGTTTTACTATAGATGTTTCTCTCTTAACCATGGTGTTATTAGTGATTAAACCTATTTAATACTAGTCTATGTAACAGATTAAACTAGATTCCAGAAATCTCTTAATCAAATATTACACTTTTTAGTCTGTAGTGTCATGTAAAGATTTAAATACTGTATATTAGCTCAAAATCGTGTCTTCTTTCTATCAGATTAAGTTCAATTCACTTAGTATTAGTTGTTTGAATGTTCCCATTGATATTTAGGACTGCAGCTGGTCAGTCTCTTATTGGCATATGTGTATACTAAGAGAATTGCTTCGATATAACCTTATTTCACAAGCATTGTAAGCAAAGATAGACAAACAAGTGGCTATCAGAACTCAGTAGCTGAGTGGATAACGCGATGGTGTTTAAAGTCAAAAGTACTGATTTCGAGTACTAGAGTGAACATCAACTCTGAGATGCAGGTACATTCAGTTGACGAGTTACAAATAGGACGAAACGCGCGTCAAACTGGATTCCTCTGTTAACCACTATCCATCTTTGCTTATAAGTTCAATTCGTTCCTGATATGGGCTTTTTTCGATTTTACTGTATTTGATGAACATTAATAACAGCATCGTATCTTTTCCTCCAATTGTTTGATGTAAATCATATATAAGATACACCCTGGAACAAATAGGTATCAATTTAAGTTTTCACATTCCTTCATCTTAACCCCAATAAGTTAAATAATCTCTAGGAATCTATGTAATTAGGTGTAATGAGTTTGTTTTGATATTCACTCTGACACTCGAACCCAGTATTTATTACTTCGATTGCCTAATACATTATCCAAAGATGACTATATATCCACAATATAGATGATACTGATGTTCACTGTAGTTCTCGAACCCGCATCACACAATGTTACTATCTGAGACGTTATTACTGAGCTGATCTCATTGTATTTTGGTGTTTACGTTGACTGAATAATAAATAGTAATCAGTTTCGTATATGTCAAGTTCTTATTGTTGATCAAATTCTATAGACTTACTTGAATGTCTGGTCAGCTGTGTGGGAAGTTTAGGGATATTCATGGCCGTTTTCACAGACATGTCAGGATTAAATAGTAGGTAAGCGAGATCAGAAGCATGGCAGTCTATTGAAAGAAGTTGTGTAAATCCTGAGTTTTCCATCTTTCTAATCTTCCTTTTTCTATTGTGGTATTGGTATACATAGTTAAATATGTGACATTTAACAGGTATTGACTGATAATGAGATCGAAAATACTATAATAATTATTATAATTATAAAGGTCTGAACTATCCTGTTATTTATATTCAGAACTGGGTTTTTGATTAGCTTTTATTGGCGTGCCTGAACTCAGTAGTTCAATGGATAACACGTTACCATCTTAAGCATAAGGTATCAAGTTTGAACATCAATACTTCGAATGTACAGGCACATCCAACTAACGAGTCTTACATAGGTTGAAACTACTAGCCGTGATCCAATCATATTATAAAATTATTTTATATTTTGTAGAAACCTCTTTTGTGTTTTTTCTACTTGCATACAATCTGCTATATGCTGCCAGATGTGTACTGTATTGTACAGTGTGATAATGTCAGTAACGAGTTTAGGCGATACTGATTCCAGAAGAATTAATGAGTTCATGAGATGAAAAGTATAAATTATTTTAAAACTTAAGATCCAAGGTAAGATAAAGAGTTTAAAAGTCTGCGCAATTGTGACTAATTCTGAACCATATCACTAGTCACAGTTACTGTGCGGATCCCAACTAGGTAGTCTTCACTCACCAACATAGCTTAGTCCAACAATCAGTACTTTCATGGACCAGTGTAGTGTCTTGGTTTGATCAATGTATTATTCTCTCCCAACATACTACTACTTCAACCAATACCGTGCGTCGGGATAGATTGTGGTCGAGCCTACGCAATATATATCCTCAGATGACGGAAAATAGTTGTTACGTAGGTCATCGATGTTAGAAGTGTTATAGTCTCTGGAATGATTGGTTTAGTGGTTAAGCTTTCATTATCCTTCTCACAGTCACCAAATGCCCTGGTACGGCCGAGAGTGGAGAGAGTCTGCTCTCCCTCTCGAAATGCTCTCATATGGCTACGCGAATATATAGTCTCTACCAGAGAAGTCCTACTCACTGCCTTCTCGTGGCATCACTGTTGTTTACGAAATCGAGAGAACGAAAAGCGGATATCCGGCGCTTTAACCGGGTTGGTAGACACGGAAAGTTCACCTAGCGGAGTTGGAAAACCCTGATTCCAAACCAATGGTGCACATAGGCTCCAGTATCCTGAGGGAACAAATGGCGTATGAATCAATCACTGGTCACCGGCTACCATGAGACTGCATCTCCTCACAATGCACCGCAGCCTTGTGGATCAGACCCGTAGGTCGAAGGCTCCGGGTGTGGCTCCCTAAGAAAACCACCTGCTTCAGTTCGGGCACCTTGACAGTATCACAGCCCTCACACAAATCGAATGAGATTTGTGCGGCGCATATGTATCTGGTGCTTCCTTGTACCAATATTTATGTGTTTAAATAAATAAATAAAATAAATCCTTCTCACCAATATCATCAGCCTATACAAGTGAACCATGAGATCTCCTTCACAACTCACTGACATCTTATTCAGTTGATCTGAAATTGTATGGTCGTTATTCGTTTGTTCATTTTGATTATTTTCTCCCCTGGCTTAATATTTGGTCCTACAGTTGTCAATCCTTTTTTTATTGACTGATAGATTGGGCCGATATCAATATCATTTGTTCAATATGTGACCAAAGTGCTTAGTTTCGAGAAATTCTCTGGCTTTCTTTGTGTTTCCTCTGTTCAATTATTTCTACTTGAATTCATGTCCATTGTTGTTCGCATAAATTAATATAAGTGATACCATATTTTAGCATTTAGCAGCTAGTTGATGTTCATGTAGACATAGATGATGATTGTTTCCAAAATGTAACCATGTCTAAACGTGTTCTGTTTATTGATCAATTTAATTTGTATTGAATCTTTTAAAGTTCTAATAGAACACTCTGTAGCTTAAAAACTAAGCGAAGTTGGAAATAGACCTTTATGTAAATTGCTTTTAATAAACTGGCTCTATACTTTTCGAATATTACAACCGGGACCAAAGATCCGTTGGAGAAGATGAGATGTGTGTTATTCTTTAGGTTCACTCTTTCTGATACCTCTTTCTACTATGGAAAGGCACCGATCCTGGCGTTACTGATTGTCTAAAAAGAACAATTTACTACTATCACACTCCAATACAGTCTGTACTACGATTGTACCCTCAAACCTCACATTTGTCCTTTTTTTTATTTTTATGGCTCTTCGATTGATCTGTCTGATTATAGAAGACGTTAAATGAACAAGCCAATAAAACTCGGTTATTTATTTATTTATTTATTTGAACACATAAATATTGGTACAAAGGGGCACCAGATACATATGCGCCACATAAATCTCATTCGATTTGTGTGAGGGATGTGATACTGCACATGTGCCCAAACCGAACCAGGTGGTCTTCTTAGGGGTCACACCCGGAGCTTTTGACCTAAATGTCTGAAACAGAAGGCAGTGGAGCTTCGTGAGGAGATGCAGCTCTATGGTAGCCGGTCGCCAACGATTGGTTCATGCACCATTTGTTTCTTCAGGATCCTGGAGCCCATGTACACCATTGGTTTGGAATCAGGGTTTTCCAACTCTTGGGGGTGAATTTTCAGTATCCACCAACCTGGTTAAAGCATCAGACATTCGCTCTTCGTCCTCTCAATTTCGTAAACAACATTAATGGCACGAGAACGCAGTGATTAGGACTTCCCTGGTGGAGGCTATATACGCGTGTCCATATGAGGGTATTTGAAAAGGGAGAGCGGACTCGCCCCACTCTCGGCCGTACCATGGATTTGGGAGCTGAATCATCGCATGGGTTATCTCGACTATCAAGTCAAGTTACTAGTTTTAATCAGTCAGAATTCTACGCTTTATAGTAATAGTAATGCAATGGAAATTTCAAAATGAGAAATACAGTTTACGAGGACAAATAGTGGAATACAACTGTACCACTCTGTTACTGATTTTACACTATTTTAATGTTTCCAATACTACTACTATTATTACTTACATTTATCTTATTGAAATGGTAACTGCCTATATCTGTGTATGCATATTTTACCTTTCAGTCATTTCTTCATGTCAGTCAGTAACTTTTGAGAAAGATGACGATAATTTGGCACATGTTGATTTCGTCATGTCAGCTGCCGTAAGTGTTTCTTTTTTTTCTTTGTATATTTTCACTTTTATTTTGTTGAAAAAGGAAAGTAAGTTCGATTAAATCTGACAACTGGTAAGTAGCAGTGTAGTGAACAAAATGTGGGAGGGAACAATCGAATGTATTCAGACGTAAATTACAGACTATCGCACGAAATTCTGATTCAGTGCTTGAAATCACTAACTTCTAGTCTGAGTCATGTTGGCAGATGCAGACCACTTAGTTGGGGTCCGCGTGTCTATCGTAATCAATGGTTGGAGAGTGTGTGTGACATGGCTCAGAATCGATCACAATGGCGTCGGTGTATGCACTCTTTATCTTCCCTTAAACCTTGAGATTAAAATTGCTTCATAACTTTCTTTCTTCCTATACTATATCCTTATATACAACCTTTATTTTATATACACTACCACCACTAAATTAACTACTTCTATGGATCCGGTGTTGATCTTGTTGTGCTAACGAGGTATGGCAACTTGGACCGATGCATAAATGAGCCTGGTCTTGCGTTGTAGCTGACTGACTGACTGAAATTCTGATAACCATACAGTCAACAGTTAATTTGCTAAATAACAATCAATTGTCTCAATCTTAACTGTTCCTTCTACAAATATCAGTCCGTCTTCTCTGATTATTATTGTTCATGCATTTTCTTAGCGATTGCGCTTCATTCCTGTTCGTTCCTTATCAATCTTCTACCAAAATACATTCTATATCTGACCATCACAATACACTACTTACATGGATATAAGTAGACGACACTACAGCAGTATTAGTGAATCTGTAAAACAGTTCTTCGTTCGATTCTATGCGAAAGTATGTGTTTATTGAATTAAAAGTTTTAAATTAAGATGAAACATGAGTGTCCAGTGTCTAATCTACCTTTCATCAATTCTTAGAATGATGTCATTTTCAAGAACTATTTCGATAAATCATTGTTTGTCTAGTCCGTTTTGGTGCTGATCGAAGTATATAGATCAAATTGCAATGTGACCGCTAGTTTGAATGACTCGATATCAAGTGTACTGTGTTAAGATGTTGTAAGGTAACGGATGAAGATAGTCCACAAGAAACCCTAGCTATTGTGTTATTTGACATTCGTCAGCAAGGTACACATGCGATCTTCAATGCACTGATATCTCGTGGTGAATATCTACAATAATTACTAATTTACATGAAGATCGTTTAATATTCTAGTCACAAACTTTATTATCAAATTATTTAAACAATATAGATATTTTTTCGGCTAATTAAAGAACGAAGGTTTCTTCCAAGGTACAATTCATTCCATGTCTACTTGATATGCGCACTAGTACATAAGTAAGCTTTTCTGATATATATATATATATATATATATATATATATATATATATATCCCTTATCTAATTAGGCTTATCAGTGGTTTGTGTCTCTAGTACAACTGAGCATTTAAAATAGTATGCTTCCTGCATCACATTTAGGCGTGTACCGGTTTCTTGGAGAACTATTCCTCGATCATTTCACCAAGAGGTCTAGTCCACAAAACAGTGAAGCAACATCAGGAAATTTATTCCCATGATAGCCAGTGACTAAAATAGGTTCATACACAATTCGTTCTCTCAGGGCCCTGGAGTAGATGTATACCTTTTTTTTTCCTGTTACTTCCTAATATTGATGTTACTTTAACCCAGAACTCAGTATTTTGAAACAAGTTTTAAATATTTGCTATTTGTTATTATAACCAAATGATGTAATGCACAGTTCTCTGTTGTTTGAAGCGACTTGTTCCTATTTCGAGTCATAACGTGGATATCGATTCTGTGATATGGATTTATCATCCAGATGGCTATTCTGAAATAGAATGACATGTTCATTTCAGACACTACTTTCAACTTTCAACCGAATCACTAATATAAAGTTGATATGATATTGTAGCGAGATGTAAAATGAATTGAAATCCACATTCAAACTCTATCACATTTAGTATTCTCTATCTGTTAATTATAGACATGTGAAAGACATCAAGTAGAAGAGCTTAAATCGACAATTAATGGTATGCATGAATTGATTCCGTTCCCTTCTGTCTATGTTACTCCTAAATTCCACATCTATGTGGATGCAATAATTCGACATATCTCTATAATTTTACAGTTTAAATCACAAACTAACCTTAGATAGATCTCCATTGAACGGCCAGAATCTCTGGACTCCCTTTACATTTCAGTATGAGACTCTTTAGTAGTTCACATCCACTACTTGAACCCAAGATTTTTACCTCTCGTATGAACGTCTAACCTCTAGACCACTGAGCTGGCATCCAATAGTGCTAATGTTTAACTTCAATCAATACAAGATCTTGAGCAACCTTCATCTAAAATTTTAGCGTTTGCGCGCGATTCCAGAAGTCTTGAGTTTGATTCTCGCTTGTAGTGTTGTGAATACTCATTACTTGAGGAATCTCATACTAAGATGAAGCGGTCATCCAGTGCTTTTGAGTTTTCAATCGTAATCCAGTTAAGATCAGTTCATGATATAAATCATAAAGATTCTACAATTTCCACTAATCACATGTACTAACACACACCATCTGTATAATCATTTTGATTGAAAATAATTCCGATTTAGTTTTTCATGTTACAATTTGTTTGTGTATTATAATCATGTTAACAATCATCATAATTGTTTACATAGTATACAATTCAATTGCATAACCAGAACCTAGACAGATGGTTAATATGAATAAACAATACAACTAATGCAATTTTAAACATGTACATTCAAGTATCATTGATTAGGGGGTTTTTTGTTGAGGTTTTTAGTAACTTTTTATATACAGTTGAAATCATGAGTCAATTGAAGCTAGACACGACCGTGGAAAACCTGGAAGCACTGGACGGTTGTTTCGCCCCTGTTGTGGGACTCCTCAGCAGTGCGCATCGACAGTGTTGGATGCTGGCTCAGTGGTATATCGGTTAAGTGCTCTAGCGCGAGACTGGTAGGTCCTGGGTTCAAATCTCGCGAGGCGTGATCTTGGGTGGGTACTGCTGAGGAGTCCCACAATAGGACGAAACGGCCATCCAGTGCTTCCAGGTTTTCCACAGTGATCTAGCTTCAATTGACTCATGATTTCAACTATATATCATTGATTAGATCAATATAGAAACTTAACATTGATTCTGGTTAGAGAACCATCGAAAAACCTGGAAGAATTTTTTTTCAGAGTATGAAACTCCTTAGTAGTTCAACTCTATTGGGAATGAAACAACCTGGAACCATTAATGATAACTTACTGATCTAACTTTTAAACAATCGCTAAGATTTCTGAAGGATCTAGGTTTCATCTATGGGTTGGGTTTGTAGATCCCCATTGTTAAGTGAGAAGTTTCACACTAAGATTAAACAGATGTTCAGTGGTTCCCTGTGGCTTTTTAACGATTATTGAACTAAAGTTTAACCGATTATGGAAAATTGGAAAATTCAGTCATTTTCAAAACCTTCTATATTAGGATATGTTACCCTAAGTATTGGAATTTTATCGGTAGCTGTGTGTTTTCACTTATAAGATCTTCTAAATAGTCTCAATTTATGATTAGCCCTTACATAAACAGTATAGATCTAAGCTCTGAGTACACTAAACCTGTATTTGATAAATTATTTTTTCATCATCAGTATGGAACCCTTCATCAGTGATTGATCTCACATAATATTCTTGTGTTGTTTCTTTGTACTATTTAAACTTGGAATAATTTTGATTTGGTTATTTATTCTCTGAAGAAGTGGCCTACACTGAGTCACGAAACATCAGGAAAATTGGGAGATTACAAATAGATTAATTTATTTACCACTTCACTATAGATTAAATCTAGGACCTCCAGGCCTTGTGGGAAACACTCTAGATCTAGATCATTCATTTTTTAAATTCAATAGTTCCATTATCATCCATCGCGCTAACTGTCTTACACTTAACATGGTTCAAATTCTATATTTCATTTTTTTTTCTAAAATCTCTGTTAATCCATAAAAACAAAAGTGTTTTCATCAAATTGATTGATATAATGAATGGATCCACTGTTAGACGACTATTGAAAACTTGGAAGCACTGGGTGTGTGTTTCGCTCTAGCATAGCACTCTTCAGCTGTATGCATCCACGATCCCACACTCGGAATTCGAACCCAGAATCTTCAATCTCATGCGTAAACCCTTAACCTCTAGACCACTAAATCGGCATCCAAAGGTATTCATGTCTAACTTCCATCAATCTACGACCATTCACGATTGTCTTCAGTGAATTACTGCCCAACAACAGAGACACAGTTGAACTTCACTGGTCATACCTTCTCACTAAAACTCAATCTAAACCCAACAATCTCCCCAACCCCTATAATGGAAATTAGTGGGGAAAAAACAAACAACCCTCATGAATATGATGGTAATAAATTTTTACACATTACAAATGAATAGGGAAAAAAAACAATGAAACAAATATTAACTTTCTTATTTTATTTAACAAATCAACTCTCCATGGTAATAGATGATAGACAGACATATTCAATAATAGATATATAGACAGATATGTGTTGTATATTAAAGGGACGCACTTGTGCGCGTATCTATCTATACACATATTATTATTATCAGCTGCATTTGTTTATTTATTATTAGTGTGTGTGTGTGTTTTGTTAGATAAACATACACACACACTACATACATACAAGTGAACATAGCTGGCAACTCATTAGTGTTTGTCTATCAATATATATATCTGTGTATGTATGTGCGTACAATAAGGGGAAGATACAAGCAAACAATACAAAGTGAACATATAGGCATTAGTTTTATTTCATCAATCAAATTATGACCTAATCGAAATTACCAGGCCTATAGTGATTTTATTTAGTGGAGTTAGTAGTAGTAGTAGTAGTGGTAGTAAGGAATAGAAAAACTGCTATTGTTGTTGTTGTTGTTTAGTTATCTTATTTTTTTTTTGTTACATCGGTAGAAAAATAAGTGA